GAGAGAGAGAGAGAGAGAGAGAGAAAGCTTCTATGAATTAAGACTAATGCTAAATATAATTTTAAAAGAAGTGCATAGAGAAAGACATGCTTCTTGGGTTCACACTCAGAAAGAAGTATGGGAACCAAGCACAACTTCAGAGGGTATATTTCTTAGGGTGGGAAAAAAAGCAGAACGTGGACCTCTCCTGTGTGTAAGATAAACAGAATGACTTAACCTACAAATCCACATATTCAGAGTAGTTCAGGTAAACAGTCCCTGGGGCATTTGGAAAGAGTGGGTTATACATTACTTTATTATTTTCTTTTAAACACATAATAAATGATGTGAATGTTCTGTTGGACAGAATCTGACAACACAGCCAGTTCACATGGCACATGTAACACATTAGCTGCAATTATTGCTTATGGATCTCCAGGGCCTAATTTAAAGATTTTGGCTCTGAGTGTCCCTTCATCTATCCATTTAGATCATTAGCTGAAGCCCCTCCTAACTGTGTAAGGTCTAAAGAAAAAAAACTGAGAGATGATCCACCAAATCAACTGAACAATTTCTTTGCTTCTCTTAATATCCGCTAGTCTTCCCTTAACTACTACTAGTTTCAAACTCTGGGTTGAAGGACCTTCTTATTCTACCCAATCAAGTACATATTCACACATTCATCTCTTTCTTTTCTAGCCTGCCTAATTTCCAGGTACTTCTAATTTGTTTCCCACAACAATAATTGTGTGATTTATCTTAGACAAAGGGAAAGTGACCAGCCCGAAGTCAACAAGTCAGCTTCTATGTCAAAAGGTGGACTTAAACTGGGTCTCCGTGGCCCTTTAAAATATTACATGTGAGTCTTATTCAGGGAAAGAAAAATAATTCTCTTCTAGCTAAGATTGACATGTATGCACTCACAAAGGTATGCTATGACATATCAGAATATATTAAACATTATCTTTAGCTTGGAAAATAATCAGGTGGGTAAAGTCTTTAATTTTTGTTTGCTAATATCCTTCCTTTTTCATTCAGAAAAAAAATGTGGACATAAATTAATTACTCCATTTGATTAGTTGCTGCCTGCTATTATAGCACTGGATTATACAGTAGAATTCATTCTCATCCATAATATGGCAGGTTCCAGCCTAATTAACTGGATTTTACTTAAACGTTATTGCTGTTTTATTGTTTCATTTATAAACTAGTGAAGAAGTGTTGCAAGAGGTGGAAAATAAGGTCAAGTTCTCCCCCCCACTCCCGAAGGATATTTGTGGGGAATTTTGATCTTGGTGTTCTTGACAAATGTTTATACACAACTGTTTACAAGGTAAAGGCTTCACTTGTCCTTTTAGTAAACATTAGGAGACACTCCAAAATGTAGATCATAGAAAGGTAAAAAACAAACAATATTTAATTTTTATTAAAATCTGAGTTGATAAAATGGAAACAGAATGGCATAGCAAATGGGCTATATTTCAGAAAAAAAAGTTTCATAAATATTATGAGACATATAGATCTTTCATGCTATAATGACCTGAACTGAAGCCATATTTACTCTTGGTGGCTGATATATTTAGTGTATGAACTTGCCAATAGGGTAGGAAAAATGCATTATTTACTTCTCTCTTTTTTAAATTGATTGCTCCCTGTGGTTTAGCTAAGGACTCAGCACAGTGATGAAGGATTTAAGGGAAAAAGATATATCCAGGAGAAGCAGCACTGGAGGCCAAGATGGAGAAGATCTCCACAGACCCTATGGATTTTCCTTTCGTTCTCAGATAGGTTGGCACAAAGGAGATCCACACACTGCAAAAGACCAACATGCTGCAGGTGAAGAACTTGGCTTCATTGAAGTTGCCAGACAAATGGTGGGCAAAGAAAGCCACAATGAAGCTTGTGAAGGCCATGAGGCCCAGATAGACCAGGATAGAGTAAAACATGAAAACTGACCTTCACTGCATTGTAGAATCACTTCTATGGTAAATGAGGGCACATATAATTCAGGAAATTAAGGAGAGGTGACCAGCCACATAGAACAAATGTAGGTTAGAAAGGAAAACAGGAAGGAACATTGAAAAGGGCAAGTCTTTAATTTTTGTTTGCTAATAACCTTCCTTTTTCATTTAGAAAAAAAATGTGTACATAAATTAATTACTTCGTTTGATTAGTTGGTGCCTGCTATTTAGTTCTGGCCTCAGCACAATGATGAAGCATTTTGGGAAAAAGATACATCCCAGTAAGGCAGCACTAGAGGTCAAGATGGAGAAGACCTCCACAGCCACCATGGCTTTTCCTCTGGTGCTCAGGTACGTTGGAACAAAGGAGACCCACACACTGCAGAAGGCCAACATGCTGAAAGTAATAAACTTGGCTTCATTAAAACTGTCAGGTAAATTTCGAGTGAGGAATGCCACAATGAAGCTGGCAATAGCCAAGAAACCCAGGTAGCACAGGACACAATAGAACATGAAGATGGAGCCTTCATTGCATTGCAAAATCATGGTTTCCATAAGGGAGTGCACGTCTAAGTCAGGGAATGGAGGAAAGGTTGCCAACCACAGGGTGCAAAGAGCTGCTTGAAGAAAAGAACCAGAAAGGACAATGGAAGGGGCCATTTTTTTCCCTACCCATTTTCTCATTGTAGAACCCGGCTTCGTGGCCATGAAAGCTACAGCCACAGTAATAGTTTTAGCTAACACACAAGAAACAGCAGCTGAGAAGATGATGCCAAATGCTGGTTGCCGCAGAAGGCAGGTTACTTTCCCTGGTTGACCAAGGAATAACAAGGAAGAAAGGAAGCAGAGCAGAAGGGTGATGAGGAGAGTATAAGTGAGGTCCCGGTTGTTGGCCTTGACGATGGGAGTATCTCTACGCTTAAGGAAAATGCCAAGAACACTGGTTGACATGAGGGAAAAGGCAACAGCAGCTGAGGCCAGAGTGATCCCTAAAGGTTCTTCAAAGGAGAGAAAACTCATTGTTTTGTTAAGGCATCGATCTTGCTCCTTGCTTGGATACTGATCTTCAGGGCATTTGAAACAATCTTCTGTGTCTGCATGAAAAGATCAACATGAAATCATTTAATTCCTATTTACCAATTTTTAATAAATGATACATGCTATTATTTGAAGATTGATATTCATTCTGCAATCCATTACCTATGTACTTATTATCCAATGGTTATTCCAAAATATATACCAAGTATACCAAAAATCTATAATTTGATCAGGTGTGATATGAAACAGTGCAAAGTTTGAGATATTCATTATAATGGATACTTAAAATTTAGATGGTGCAGAATTTGGTTTGAGTTCCCTGCTGTCAGGCCTAGCCCAAGGAACTCCAAGAGACCATGTAAATTCAGTCCAGCAATGTTTATTAGCTGC